TTTTCTTTTGTTGATATGATGGATTATGTTGATTGATTTCCGAATGTTGAACCATCCTTGCATCCCTGGGATGAATCCTACTTGGTCATGGTGTATGATCTTTTTGATGAGTAGTTGGATTCTATTTGCTAGTAGTTTGTTGAGGATCTTTGCATCTGTGTTCATCAGGGATATCGGCCTGTAATTCTCTTTCTTTGTGGTATCTCTGTCTGCTTTTGGTATCAGTGTGATATTTGCTTCGTAGAAACTATTCGGAAGTGTTTTTGATATTTCAATTTCGTGGAAAAGCTTAAAGAGGATTGGGAGTAAGTCTTCTTTAAAGATTTGGAAGAATTCACTAGTGAATCCATCCGGGCCAGGGCTTTTGTGCTTGGGGAGACTTTTTATTACCATTTCAATTTCCTTGATGGTGATAGGTCTGTTCAGGTATTCCAGGTCTTCTTGGTTCAGCCTTGGGAGTCTGTAGGAGTCTATGAATTTATCCATTTCCTCGAGGTTTTGATGTTCCGTGGCATAAAGCTTCTCAAAGTACTCCCTGAGGATCCTTTGAATTTCTGTAGTTTCTGTTGTGATGACCCCCTTTTCATTTCTGATTCGGTTTATTAGGGTTTTCTCTCTCCCCTTCTTTGTGAGTTTTGCTAGAGGCTTATCGATCTTGTTAATTTTCTCAAAGAACCAGCTCTTGGTTTCATTGATCTTTTGGATTGTTTTTTGGGTTTCCATCTCGTTAATCTCTGCTCTGAGTTTTATTATTTCCTTCCTCCTGTTCGGGTTGTGCTCCTTTTGTTGGTCCTTCTCCAAGCTCTTAAGCTGTGAGGTTAGTTTATTTATGTGGACTCGCTCCTCCTTTCTGAGGAATGCTTGTAGAGCTATAAACTTTCCTCTTAAGACAGCTTTTGCTGTGTCCCATAAGTTTTGGTAACTCGTGTCCTCATTGTCATTCGTTTCTAGGAATCTTTTGATTTCCTCTTTGATTTCCATTCTAAGCCACTCGTTGTTCAATAGCGCACTGTTTAATTTCCAGGTGTTTGATTTAGTTTTCTGTTTTTGTGTGTGATTTACTTCTAATTTAAGTGCATTGTGGTCTGAGAAGTTTGATGATACAATCTCTATCTTCTTAATTTTATTGGAGATATGTTTTGTTGCTCAGCATGTGGTCTATCTTGGAGAATGTTCCATGTACGCTTGAGAAGAATGTGTATTCAGCCTTTTGAGGATGAAGTGTCCTGTATATATCTACTAAGTCCCTTTCTTCCATTGTTTCACTCAGATTAAGTATGTCCTTGCTAAGTTTGAGTCTGGTTGATCTATCCAGAGGTGACAAAGCGGTGTTGAAGTCTCCCACTAGTATTGTGTTGCTATTGATGTCTTTTTCCAAATCTATGAGTAGTTGTTTTAAGTACTTTGCTGGTCTCTCATTAGGTGCATATACATTTATTATTGTAAGTTCTTCCTGTTGTACAGATCCTTTGATCACTAAGAAATGGCCTTCACTGTCTCTTATGACCTTCTTCACTCTGAAATCGATGTGGTCTGATATTAAGGTGGCTACCCCAGCTTTTTTATGGGAGCTGTTTGCCTGTAGGATTGTTTTCCAGCCTTTGACTCTGAGTCTGTGTTTGCTTTGACTATTAAGTTGTGTTTCTTGCAGGCAGCAGAATGTTGGGTTCAATTTTCTAATCCATCCAGCCACTCTGTGTCTTTTAATTGGTGAGTTTAGCCCATTGACATTGAGAGAGATTATTGTTATGGGATTTTGTCCCATTGTTCTGTTGAAATTAGGTGTATTTGAGGGGCCTGTCCTGTCTTAAAGTAGCCCATTTAGTTGTACTTGTAGCCATGGTCTTGAGTCTATGAAGTTCCTGAGCTGTTGTTTGTCTGTGAAACTGTGTGTTGTTCCTTCTATTATGAATGAGAGTCTTGCTGGGTAAAGTATTTTTGGAGAGGCATTTATTTCATTGAGTTTTCTCACTATGTCCCACCACTGTTTTCGGGCCCTGAGGGTTTCATCAGAAAAATCAGCTGTGAATTTTAAGGATGCTCCTTTGTAAGAGATTTCTTTTTTCAATCTTGCTGCTTTCAGAATTTTGTCTCTGTCTAAAGTTTTGGTCATTTTGATCAGGATGTGTCTTGGGGTATTTTTGTTCAGATTTCTTCTGGCTGGTACCCTCCGGGCCTCCTGAATGTGGTCACAAGTTTTCTTCAGCTCTGGAAATGTTGTAGCAATGATGTCTTTGACAGTTTCTTCTTCATCAGGGTTTTCTTCCTGTCCCTCTGGGACTCCAATAATTCTTATGTTACCCCTCTTGGCTTCATCACGATCTTCTCTTGCCATCTGTTCCCGAACTGTGAGTCTCTTTTCCATTTTCTGCTCTTTTCTGGCGAGTCTCTGAACTTCATCTTCAAGCTCACTGATTCTGTTCTTAGCAGCTGTTACTCTGCTTCTGAGGCCTTCCACTGAGGTTTTCAATTCGCCTACCAGGGTTTTCAGGTCCGACATTTCCGATTGCATTTTTCTCATTTCTGCCTTCAAATCCTCTTGTCTTTTATTGGCATTGGTTTCCATTGTTTCTTTTAGTTCCCTAAGCATCCTAACTAGCTCCCTTCTGAATTCCTTGTCAGAGAGGTTGTCTGATACTACAGTACTGTTGGTGTCTTCTGGGCTTGCCTCTTCAATAAGAAAGTTTGGTGGGCTTTGCGTTGCTTTACCATTGTGACCAGTGTGCTTTAGTCCTTCACGTTCACTGTTACTATTCTGGTTGAGTGAGGAGAGAGTTCCCAGATCCCTTCAGCTTTGTTGCCGCGGGATCTGATGTTGCCTCAGTTCCCGTTCTGCGCAGGCCAAGGGAGAAAACCAGCAATTCTAGGGGATCAAGCTAGCTGCGCATTCCCTGGGGGAGTCTCAAGCCGTGGAGCAGGCTGTACCTGGTTGAATGAGGAGAGACTGCCAGCAGCCGTTCAGTTTTGTTGCCAAACAATGGGCCTCGGTTCGTCCAGCACAGATTATACTATTCTCTCTTATAGTGGGAAGGGATTATGGATAAGTTTTTGTCGATGGTAGGCACCCTTCTACGTTTCTGAGTTTGACGTTCTTCTCAGTCAGGCGTTATTCTTTGTTTTATAACAGACATTGAGTGAAACTTTTGGAGGAGGTGCTATTTGGAAATGAACTTATACAGCTGTTTTCAAACAGGTGTTTGTTGGAACTTGAGTAGGTGAGTGGGTTGTTGTTGGATTGCAGTAGAAGAGGTGGGAAATGTTTGGTTGGTATTAGGCAGCAAGTTGTGGGATGGGAGTCCTGAGTACTTGATGTGAGTGATATAACTGCGGCCGCATTAGTGGCCGCCCGCCAAGGAGAAGGCCACGCCCACTTTAAGAGGCCATGCCCCTTTCCTGGTGGCCACGCCCTGAGCCTGTCCCAGGCGACACCCACCCAGGATCCTGGAATGGAGGAAGGGTGGTCTACAGTCTCCCCACTGGGCTTCAGGCGGGAATCTGAGGCACGGCTGGGGGGGCAGGAGCACTTCCCGGCTGGACGCCGCCGACCCACCTGGAGGGGAGGAGCCGAGGGACTGGTGGTTGGGTCCCTCGGAGATGGACGGGCGCTTTCCCCACTGGGCTTCAGGCGGGAATCTGAGGCGCGGCTGGGGGGGCAGGAGCACTTCCCGGCTGGACGCCGCCAACCCACCTGGAGGGGAGGAGCCGAAAGACTGGTGGTCGGGTCCCTCGGAGATGGACGGGCGCTTTCCCCACTGGGCTTCAGGCGGGAATCTGAGGCACGGCTGGGGGGGGGCAGGAGCACTTCCCGGCTGGACGCCGCGGGCCCACCTGGAGGGGAGGAGCCGAGGGACTGGTGGTCGGGTCCCTCGGAGATGGACCTCCACTATTTTTCAAACATTATTCGTTCATAATATTATGCATTATAATCTACAGATATGTAGCACAAAATTTTAGAGTTCTAGGGTGGTTTTTCTGTAATTAAACTATTTTAGTTCTTTTTGGAAAGTTATCTATTCTCATGCATTTTCTTGAACATTGTAATCATAGTTACTTTAAACTTCATGGTAGATTATTATATATCTTAAGTTTGTTTTTTTTTTGTCTTGGCCCTATCTTTTGGTCCTGATAATTAAAAAAAAACTTTTTGTGTCACGCTCAATGGTACTTGGGGCTTACTCCTAATTATGCACTCAGAGATCACTCCTGGTGGTGCTTAGAGGACCATGTAGGGATCAGATATCAAACCTGGGCCAGCTGCATGCAAGGCAAGCACCCTCTCACTGAACTATTTCTATCTCTTTTGCTCCAGGTCCTGATAAACTTTGATCAAATGCTGTATATTATGGAAAATACTGTAGATATTTTGATCAATTTATCTTTCTTCACAGTGGGCTCATCTATCCTTTAGTGAATAACTAGGTTGAGTACAGATTATTCAGGGATTGAGTTGACTTGAGACTTCATTGTGCAGCTACCTGGGTAAGAAAGTGAGCAGAGGCTGAAATGCACCCTACAATTCTACTCTCTAAAAAAATACTCTGCACCCTCAGTTATTGTGGTGCTTTCTTGAATTTGAAATTTTATGTCCTAAGAAGCTTCTGAAGCTAAGTAACTGAAAACAGCAGTACCAGTTCATTAAAACAAGACAAAACATCAAAGTTAATTACTATGCATTAAGTCTACATTTATTAATACATTTGTTTTGAAAAATCTATTGCCTTAAAATGTATGATTATTTCAGTGCAGGACTCACAGGAATTTTTAAGGTGATTGGGGTAAAAACAGTAATCAGGCAAGTTTTTTCAAAAATCCCACCTCTGAAATTATATTGAACATTTCTAAGCTTACTTGGTTTCAACATGATGGGAACAAAGAGAACTAGAAGAATATTAAGTAGTTGGAACTTCACTCATACTAGAAACTAGGACACGTTTATCATCTGATAAAAATTCTTTAAACCTGCAGCATAGTAACATGAGCTTATTAAAAATGCTACATTAGTACTTGCTTCGGCAGCACATATGCTAAAATTGGAACGATACAGAGAAAATTAGTATGGCTCCTGCACAAGAATGACACGCAAAATTCGTGAAGCATTCCATATTTTTTTGTTGGTGCAGATGTGGTGAGAAAGGGACCCGCCTTCACTGTTGGTGGGAATGCTGACTGGTCCAGCCCTTTGGGAAAACAGTATGGACGATTCTCAAAAAAATTAGAAATTGAGCTCCCATTTGACCCAGCAATACCACTCCTGGGAACATATCCCAGAGAGGCAAAAAAGTATAATTGAAGTGACATCTGCACTTGTTTGTTCATTGCAGCATTCTTTACAATAGCCAGAATCTGGAAAAAACCTGAATGCCCAAGAAGAGATGACTGGTTAAAGAAACTTTGTTACATCTACACAATGGAGTACTATGTAGCTGTTATAAAAGATGAAGTCATGAAATTTATATACAAGTGATACTACATGGAAAGTATAATGCTAAGCGAAATGAGTCAGAAAGAGCAGGATAGACACAGAAAAATTGCATTCATCTGGGGAACGTAAAGTAACAAAATAGGAGACTAACACCCAAGAATAGCCTAGATAAGTACCAGGAGGTTTACTCCATGGCTTGGAGGCCAGCCACACATCCTAGGGGAAAAGGCAGCTCAGATAGATAAGGGAGTACCAAATAAAGGGTGTTGGGAGGATCCTCCCAGGATGGGAGATGCATGCTGAAAATAGACTATAGACCGAACATGATAGCTACTCAGTGCCTCTTTTGTAAACCACAGCACCCAAAAGGAGAGAGAGAACAAAAGGGAATGCCCTGCCACAGAGGCAGGATGGGATGGGGGGATGGGGGGTGGGAGTGATACTGGGATCAGTGGTGGTGGAAAATGGGCACTGGTGGAGGTATCGGTGTTCGATCATTGTATAACTGAAACCCAAGCACAAAAATTTGTAAGTCTACAACTGTACCTCATGGTGTTTCACTAATAAAAATTTTAAATAAATAAATAAATAAAAATACTACTTTACCTATTTAAATCACTGTATTTAGAGACATTAGGGCACCCAAACAAAAAAAATACCATTTAAAAGTAACTATTGCAGTAATTTTTGACTTAGGAAGCACAAGTTACTTTGGTCCTGGGCAACTTTAAGGCTTATAAAACATTTTACATGAATAAAGAAATGAGAGAAACTAACATGAAACAAAACAGTGAAAAGTGTTGAAGCCCATACCATGCTTTTCAACCCTGTGTTTTCAAACATTTTTCAAATGGTGTTTCTTCTACACATTTATTAACGCTCACACAATTGATAGTAGCCCTGTCCTCCCATTGTTCATCGATTTGCTCAAGCTGGTACCATTAATGTCTCCATTGTGAAACTTGTTGTTACTATTTTTTGCATATCAAATACATCACGGGTAGCTTGCCAGACTTTGCCATGCAAGCAGGATACTCTTGGTAGCTTGCCAGGCTTTTCGAGAGGGGCAGAGCAATCGAACCCAGGTCAGCCAGGATCAGCCGTGTGCAAGGCAAACACCCTACCTGCTCTGCTATCTCTCCAGCCTTCAATTGATAGTAACAGGACAGATTAAACATATCTATAAATGGATATACACGGAAATATCATGTTAACTGAAATGAGTCAGAAAGAGAGGAACAGACATAGAAAGACTGCACTCATTTGTGGAGTATAGAATAACATAACATGAGGCTGACACCCAAGAACAGTAGATACAAGGGCCAGGAGGATTGCCCCATAGCTGGAAGCCTGCCTCATGAGCACAGGGGGGAAGAAAGATGGAGTAGAGAAAGGATCACTAAGAAAATGATGGCTGGAGGAATCAGTCTGGATGGGAGATGTGTGCCGAATTTAGATAATGGACCAAACATGATAACCTCGCAGTATCTGTATTGAAAACCATAATGCCCAAAAATAGAAAGAGAGAGTATGGGGAATATTGTCTGCCATGGAGGGAGGGGGAGGGTGGGGAAGGCGGGTATACTGGGAAGATTGGTGGTGGGGTATGTGCACTGGTGTAGGGATGGGTGTTTGATCATTGTGTGATTGTAACCCAAACATGAAAGCTTGTAACTTTCTCACAGTGATTCAATAAAACTAAAAAAAAAAAAGAAAGAAAAAAGAAAAAAACATATCTAATTAATAAGAAAATGTGAAAAGAAGACTCTCATGATGCTTCATTCTTAGTCTAATGTGCATGCCTTGTCCTGTCCAGAGGACTTCTCTCTGCCCTACTCCTTTCCCATTGGGTGTTCTCCTGATGATCACAGTAACAATCATCAGGAAAGTATGGACCCCTTTTCCTTAGGCCTCTTCTGTTCTCATTCCCTGCTATTCCCTGTGAATCTGGCATCAGAAAGGGGAAAGGAAATGCTCTTGGGCTGGCTGTTGTGTCTCTCTAGCTATTCTATCTAAAAGTAGAATTTAAGGTGTAAACCCCCATACCCACCCCACCCTCTTGTTATTTTAAGACCCAGGAGTTAAAGAACTCAGAAGGTATTTTATTTTCTTAGAACTGAGATTTTGATCATAAAAAAAATCTCTAAAGTGTCTGAGCAAGTGAAAACAGAGATAGATAAATGGGACTATCTTAAACTAAGAAGTTTCTGCACCTCCAAAGAAACAGTGACCAAAATACAAAGACAGTCTACAGAATGGGAAAGGATATTCGCCGAATACACATCTGACAAGGGGTTGATATCCAGGATATACAAAATACTGGTTAAACTCCACAAGAAGAAAACATCCAACCCCATCCAAAAATGGGGCAATGAAATGAACAGAAACTTTCTCAAAGAAGAAATCCAAATGGCAAAAAAGCACATGAGAAAATGCTCTACATCATTAATCATCAGGGAGATGCAGATCAAAACCACAATGAGATACCATCTCACACCTCAGAGACTGGCCCACATTCAAAAGAGCAAAAGCAACCGATGCTGGCGTGGATGTGGCGAGAAAGGGACACTCCTTCACTGTTGGTGGGAATGCTGACTGGTTCAGCCCTTCTGGAAAACAGTATGGACGATTCTCAAAAAATTAGAAATTGAGCTCCCATTTGACCCAGCAATACCACTCCTGGGAATATATCCCAGAGAGGCAAAAATGTATAGTCGAAGTGACATCTGCACTTGTTTGTTCATTGCAGCACTCTTTACAATAGCCAGAAACTGGAAGAAACCTGAATGCCCAAGAACAGATGACTGGTTAAAGAAACTTTGGTACATCTACACAATGGAGTACTATGTAGCTGTTAGAAAAGATGAAGTCATGAAATTTACACACAAGTGGTACAACATGGAAAGTATCATGCTAAGCGAAATGAGTCAGAAAGAGAGGGATAGACATAGAAAGATTGCATTCATCTGGGGGATATAAAGTAACAAAATATGAGATTAATACCCAAGAATAGCTGAGATCAGCACCAGGAGGATTACTCCATAGCTTAGTGGCCAGTCGGGCATTCTAGAGGAAAGGGCAGCTCAGATAGAGAAGGGAACACCAAATAAAGGGTGTTTGGAGGATCCTCCCAGGAGGGGAGATGCATGTCGAAAGTGGACTATGGACTGAACATGTTTACCACTCAATGCCTCTTTTGCAGACCACAACACCCAAAAGGAGAGAGAGAACACAGGGGATTGCCCTGCCACAGAGGCATGGGGGGATGGGGGGATGGGGGTGGGGGGGATATTATCCATGGTGGTGGAAAATGGGCACTGGTGGAGGGATGGGTATCTGATCATTGTATAATCAAACCCAAGCACAAAAAATTGTAAATCTACAACTGTACCTCATGGTGTTTCACTAATAAAAAAAAAATTTAAAAAAAATCTCTAAAGCTTACTATTTGGGTGTGGCGGGGCTTCTTTTTTCCTTCCACCTCTTCTCTAAGGCAAAGGGAGCAGGAGCAAGTGTTATCTGTTTGTTCAGGTGCCTAAAGGAACTGACTTCAGAAGTATCTCTCCACATTAGGTATCATGCTAATCAAACATAGCTAGCACCTTTCAGCATCCAGTTTAGCTTACATTGTGCTTAAGCTCTATCAATTATTTTCTTCCTCCCTCACACCAGCTCCATTCCAATCTGCTTGCCCACTCTCTGTTAACTCCATGGTCCAGCTATTTGGACTAGGTTTTTTTTCTTTCTGTGTCACATGCAGCGATGGTCAGGGGTTACTTCTGGCTCTGCACTCAGAAATTACTCCTGGCGGTGGTTGGGGGACCATATGGGATGCTGGGGATCGAACCCAGGTCAGCCGTGTGCAAGGCAAATGCCCTACTCGCTGTACTATCATTCCGGCCCCTGAATTGGTTTTCATTTTCTGAACTTGCTCTATCCTTTGTGCTTTCTTTCTTTGCTCAGCTTCCCTCTGCCTACAGTGTGTTCTTCTACCCTTTTACTTCCTCCACTGTTGAAAGTTTATGTATTCTCTAAGGTTCAGCTCATACATTATTTTCTTGATAAAGTTTTTTTGGTCTATGGTTTGGGTTCTGTGTCTTTTCCACTCTCTTCCTATAGTCTCTACAGGCAAAACAAATAAAACACAAACAAAAACAACTTAATAAAAAGTAGCAACTGTATCATTTATGGTCAACTCTGGTTCCTTCTACTATAAGTTAGATGTTAGAGATGGGTCATTGTTCTGGGAATCTTTGCAATCAAATTCTCTACCACTAAGCTAAACCCCCATATTCTGAGCATCTTTAAATCCCTGCTGCTTCAAACATTCTATAAATAGTGACTATTTTAATAAATTAAATAATAAATGAGAGGAAGGGATATGGGGAAGTTTGAAGGAAGAAACATTTAGATATGGGAAAGACAATTGGGAATTTTATTTAAGATACATTAAACTTGAGAGTTCCAGTGGGATTTTCAGGTAAAGAATCTACAATATTTAATTTAATCCACATCCTATTGGAGTTCCAATCCTGCTCATATATCTTGAAGTGAGGTTAACTGGGATCATTCAATTATGAAACTGTATCATTTAAGCAGTGGCAAGAAAGTGATACCACACTTAAGTAAAGAAACTGAAGAGTGGTTAAATGGACACATCACAAAGTTGTTAAGGGAAAATAACAA